GCCGTCGGAATTTCCGTCGGAATAGTGGCTGTTTTCTTGTAGTGCTAATATTTTATAATATTTTTCAAACATTATATAAAAAGCTATGATTGATCAATGTCACTAATGTCATCGGTTTATTTTTCATAGAGATCTATACTCGTCAAATCTTACATATTTAGATCTTAACAGTAAATATATTATTATTATTTTATAACATGTATAAATTTTCATTTTATATAATTTGTTTTTTTAACATTAAAAAGTATAGGTAGAAGATTTATATTTTCTTTGTAATATTCTATAATTATGTTTATAAAGTTAATATGTTTGTAGATTTTTATTTTCTTCTGTATGTTTGTACATATAAACTTTAACATTGAGATTTTCGTATTCATTTTAATGTTTTGTTTTTGTATATTTTTGTTTTGGTTTATCATTCATATTTAGTAAAATTCTATACATATATACAAAGCTTAATAATATACTTACTTTTTCATCAAGCAATAGAAGTTCCACACCCCTGATTACATTGTTTGCTTTAAGATTTCTAACTTCCCACTTTCGAAGAACACATACAATAGTACAACGATAAACATGATTTTTATCTAATTAATTTAAAGTTAGATAGCTTTTATCGATTTGTGAAATATTTGAATTCATGGCTTACTCTCATTAAGTTAGATGAAGAAAATAGAGAAAGTGAAAGGTTTTATTGTGCCGATTGAAAAAGGTTTTCAGTTATTATATAGAGTTTGTTGTATGCGTTTTTTGTTATGAAAGGTGTCGCCCAATTAGAAAATATGACATTGTTCTTTTTTTTCTTCAAATAATGATTTTCTTTTTTTGAACAAAATCTTTTTTTTTTGTGAATCACTTATATTTTTCCTTTATTTTATTTATTGTTTAACTAAATGAAATTTTTTTTTTTTTATGTTTTGTCACTTTTTGGTGAACGAATTTTAGTTCCATTTTTTCCATTTGTCTTTCTTTCTTATTTTTTAATTACTTACTTTTACTATTTTTGAATGATTTATGTTTTTGTATTTTTCTTGGTTTTGTTTGATGTTTTAAAAATTTTGTATTTTATGTTATGACATTTTTTTTTAAGAAAAACGTTTTTTCGTTTTTGTTTTTAAAGAAACATTTTTCTCTTTTATTTTTTTGTTAATTGACACATGTCATTATCTCGTTAATAGTAGACACATATCGCTATCTGATGAGTTATAATTTTGCCTACGTGTCAAACTCTCATCGTGCGCATTCTCCTTTTTATAATAAGATTACAGTATAGTAGAAGATTATTTGGCCATTAGTAATGTCCCGATGAGGAAGATATTGACTAATCTAACCTTTGGAAGTTTCAGGAAAGGCTTACACCCAAAAATATCGCGGGAACCCTGGCCGTGAAGCTACAAATGTTTGTCCACGGAGACCGGGTTACACACCAAAACCAAAGAAAGTTGGGCACATGAATTTTTCACTATGTTGTTGATGAGTTATTTGAAAAGTAATATCTCTTTGCATTACTTTTGTTTTTTCACATATAGTAATGGAAGAATTAGCCAAATACATATATTGGGTATTCAAAAAATATAGTCATGCATTAACACTAATTAAATCAATAGCCAAAGAATGAAAAATGGACAATTATACCGTATTCTATACACGACACACACGCAAGAGAGAGAGAAAAGTGGTCCCTGGTTTTTTTTTTTATATTAAATGTGTTAATTTCTTACCTATCATTACTATTTATTGATTTAATATTTTATCATACATTGGTTAAATTTCACAATCATACTAAAAAAACACATATTCTTTATTGAATCTAACATGGTTTGAATTTTGAAAAACGGATATGTATTTTGTAGAATGATGAATAGTATACTCTATAAATACATATAGAATATAATAGACTCCATATAAAATAGAATAGATACGAATATTATTATTTTTAATTCATTATAAATTCTATATAATTAAGCTTCCAAACTACTAAATTATAGTAAATCATAACCCAAAAATATTACAATTAGTAGTCTTATTACAATTTTAAATTTGTATATTTTAAAAGATTTAAGTAAATAAAATGGATTGGGTGA